TTTGAAGACAACGTCAAGTTCAAATCGGCGAGAAGCTGGAAGATCTCGACAAGAAGAGGAGGAGGGCGCAGGATGCCATCTTTCTCATCCAATGCTGGCTCGAGGTCAGCGAGACCGGCCGGTTGTCGTCCCTCGAAGACATTCAGCGTATTGGCGGAGCAGAAAACAAAGTTCGATGCGCCGTCATTTCCCGCCAGCTGATGCGCATGAGCCAGAGGCTCGACCCGGCATCGTGGGGCCAAACCAACGGCTCACGCACAAACGGCGTCACCAATGGCGTGTCTGGTGCGAGCAGGCACAACACGCGCGAGGTGCTCGAAAAGTTCAGCGAGGGGCTTGAGCAGGAGCTGCTCAAGCAGTTCAACAACAGCTACCGACGACAAAACTTTGACGACATGATGGAGTGCGCCAAGGTGCTGCAAGACTTCAACGGCGGCGCCAGCGTCATTGCCGTCTTTGTCAACCAGCACCAGTTCTTCATTGATCGCGACCAGCTCATCACGGACGAGGTCACCACAGACGGCGAGACGTGGGAGCAGCTTGCGGATCCTGACTCGGATCCTCCAGGCGTGGAACCCAGTCTACAGTCTCTTATTGACGAAGTCAAGATTGTCATGCAGGAAGAGTCGTTCATCATCAAGCGCGCCTTCCCCAACTATGAAACGGTCCTCATCAAATTCATTCAGAGGGTGTTCCAGCAGTCAATACAACAGCGACTGGAGTTGGTTCTGGACAAGGCGAATACGGTCTCATCGCTGGCCTTCTTACGATCCCTGCACTCGTCGAGAGCATACATTAGCACTTTGATCGAGGATCTGAAGTCCCATGGCCTGACAGAGCACCCCGAACCTGCCTCGGCGCAGATCTCCCAGACCCTTGATCAGCAGATGGAGGAACTGTTCGTTCCTTACCTTGTCGGTAACTCGTACATCGACAGGGAGAAGAAGAGCCTTGAGGAAATGTACAACTCGCTGCTCTTCAAGTTCACGGCTTTCCATGCCAAGAGGAAGAAGGCACCCACAGGCTTCATGGCCTCGCTAGCACAGCAGAGCACACAGCTCATGTCGTCAGCCAAGGATGCCTATCTTGAACGTCTGGACTCGTCTGAATTGACGCCAACGCAAAAGACCATGATGCTGCGTGTGGCCGGTCTGTCAGCCAACCGTGACAGCAAGAACGAAGTTGAGCTTACCGAGGAGGACGGCCAACTCCGGGTGCAGAACGCGAAACGCATGATGAAGTGGCTGGCCGAGAGCGTGCGGCGGACGCTGGAGCTGGGCTCGGCAGTCGAGACGCCCAAAGATGTCAACATTCTGCTCAACCTCCTGCTGTCCACGATGGGCCACGTCTACATTGAGACGGGCCTCGACGCTGCCCTCGATCAGTCCTCTTCTCTCGAAAACGTAAAGACGGAACCTGACATGAGCTTCCTGCCCACCATTCGCCCGGCCGTCACCATCACGGCCATCATGGAGCGCTTCATCACCACCGTTCTCATCAAGCTCGCAGAGTCCAACACGACGGTTCGCCGCAACATGTCCTCGCAGACGAGGACCTCGATCGAGACGATTGAGAAGAAGACAAACAGCGTCATCCGCTCCTCCATTGACGTTCTCAGCAACTGGGTCTCCCGTTCGCTCTCCTCGCAGAAGAAGCTCGACTTCCGCCCCCGCGACGGCGAGCTCGACTCGCTCCAGACCCCGACGTGTCTGCAGATTAGTACCTTCCTCGCCAAGGCCGCCCGTCAGGTGAGCCAGGCCGTCGACGGCCACAACATGGAGGTCTTCGCGTCGGAACTCGCGCTCGCCGTCCTGGCGCTCCTCTTTGAGCACTTTAAGAAGTTCCAGGTCAACGCCACGGGCGGGCTCATGGTCGCCCAGGACATTTCAAAGTACGCCGCCACGCTCAAGGCTTTCGGCTCGCTGACCAAGGAGGTCGAGGCCGCCGTCGAGCTGCTGACCGAGGTCGGCTCCCTCTTCATCGTCGGCCCGGAGGCGCTGCGAGAAAAGTCGAGAGGCCTGGCTGTGACGGGGCCGACGGGCGTCGCGGCACGGAAGCTGACGAAGCCGGATTTCCGCGCCTTTGTGCAGAAGCGGGATGATGCGGCGTCGGTGGGGATTCAGGGCGTGCTGGCTGGGCTGTAAAGAGGGGAGCCTGCGTTTGATCGAGGGATTCACTACACGATGGAATGATACCAGATTTTCTGTGCCTTGTTCGATCGATTAATATGCCTGTGATGTCTCCTATTCGTAGGATTGAGCGGTGCCGAGACTTTACCGATACGTGTTTCATTCAGTCGTCTGTTGATACAATATATCTTACACGAAGGATTGGTACAATACGGTGACTACAAGCCAGCAATAGCCACCTCGACCCCCTGACGTACCTTAAACAGTCATGTTGTACACGTTTGAACATTCCAGCCAACATTCTGCTTCTGATCGCCGCCGCTTCTGAACAGCCGACTCCCTCGAGGATGCTACGCTCCAGCCGCACCCTCAGTTTCAGCCTTGACCTCTCTCCCGACAGGTTCAACCTCGAGCTCGGTAGTATACGTATTCATATCCCGGATCTCCACCGTCAGCACATCCCCCACGTTCGTCTCGGCCAGCTTCGTCCCGACATCCAGCCTAGCCAGCGGCACGACGGCGCCGATGCCGTAAAAGTCCCGCAGCCGCCCGCGGATGCCAAACGGCAGCACGGCGTCGACGACAAAGGCGAAGCGCTCGGGGAGCGGTGCCTCGCCAAACTTCCACGCGCGGAGGAGGGCCTGGAAGATCCACTGCGTCGGCCCATCGCGGTTGTCGACTTCGCGGATCTGGCGCTGGCGAGCCTGCAGGGCGGGGAGCAGGCGGGAGAGGGAGTCGTGGGACCAAGGCAGGGCTGAAGAGGCGGCGTCCACGTGCTCGCCGGCGTCGGTCGTGGAGGCGACGACGGCGGGGGCCGTGCCGCTCGCGCGCTCGTGGGCGAGGGCTGCGTGGATCTGCCAGTGCACGATGAGGTCTGTGTATCGGCGTAGCGGGGAGGATGCCTTGGTGTAGGCGTCGAGGCCGACGGAGTAGAAGGGCGCCGGTCGAGCGGACAGCTCTGAGGTGCCGATGAGGCCGAAAAGTTGCTGTAGGAGGGCCGGGGGCAAGGGTTTCCCGGCGGCCGTCAGAGGGTCGACGACCTCCTCGCGAAGGCGTTTCAGCTCACCCGCGTTGCGGAGGGCTTCGGGTTGCGTGCTGTACGGGGCTGGAATGTTGCGGGACTGGCACCACTTGGCGGCAACCTCGCCGGCGGTGTGCATCATGCGCTCGACCAGACGGTCGGCCTGGCTATAGTTCGAGTGCGAGAATTTGATGAACGGGTCGCCGTTCCAGACCATGGATGCATTGGGGTCTGTGGCGTGCTCCTTGGCAGAGATGGGCTGGAAAGGACACCTCTGGAGAAGGGAGCCTAGACTGCAGCGTGGGAAGCTGACCTTTGGCGGCACGGCGGTCCTTGAGTGCTTCGCCAAGGCGGTCGAGAAGGAGGAGGTCATCCCTATCCTCCGCCGTGAGCTCGTCAGCCGTCGTGATTTTCTTGACGGGAGGTCGAGGGCCGGGGTCCTTTCCGACAGAAAAGGCTGCATCGCCACCGCTCTCCAAAGACTGAAGGCCAGGCAGGATAGACGTGACCTCACGTTTCGTCATATGCACCACGTTGTGAACAGTGCCGGGCTCAACATGGTAGCCTAGGACTTCTCCCCCTTCGTTCACCTTGGCGCTAAAGGTGAGGACCGGCTTGCCGGGGTTCAGCGAGAACTTTTGCTCTAGCTCAGGTGGTAACATCTTCTCAGGGTAGCCAGCAAGGTAGAGACTGGAGGGCATGGACTCGATATGGGACGCCAGTGGTGACGCTGGGTCAATGACTGATGCTGGATCTGCGATGTGGATGTGAATCCAGTGCTCGCCAGCTACATCTGTCGCCTCGATGGAAAAGCCGTCATCGACATCTGCAGTCTGATCCGAGTCGACACAGAAGATTCTGGTCTCGCCCCAATCTCGGCGGGCGCCCGCAGCGATATCTGGCCTCATGGACGCCTCGACGTCAACGCTTGGACGACTCAGGCTGCCGCCCCTTCTGATCTCCGTATCTGGGAAACGGTATTCGTATCGGGCTGGAATATCCCACGGCGGAATCCAGCCGATCTCTTGCAGAAACGTAAAGGCTGTCCAGTGGGCGACCCAGTCAGATTCGCTGTATAGCTGGGTCAGGCGAAGAATCGAGGATCCCAGACTATCAATCTGAGACGCTTGAGGAATGACCCTCCTGCACGCCCACAGCTCCATGAAGCGTATGTACTTCAAATCCGATTCTTCCCACTGGGGCAGATCTTCCGCCATCTGGCTGCTGGGACCGATCATACCATGAGGGGTCCAAGGCCTGTTCCTCCGGTTGGCGGTGACAATGGCACGCGCTCGTAAGATGAACCGTCCGAGATCGTTCTGCTTCAAAAGAGAGGCAGACTGTCCGGGGTTGTCCCTTAGATACGCCCCATCGACAAGGCGGCGCACCCTTGACTCGACCAATTGCAACAGGGCAATATCTGAGCCAGGCTGCACCTCGTAAATGTAGTTCCTTCGATGCCACTTTGCGTTCAACGGTCGAAACCCCCAGCCGTGACGCTGCAGAGCAAGGTGAACGGCATACAGAACATGGGACGAGAACGTGCTGCCCTCCCGGAGAAATGTGGGCAGCATCCGATCAGCGAGTTCCTCTAGGCTTAAGTAGGTGCGCCTGTTCGGGTCAGCCACATGCTCGCTGGCACCATCCATGTATTTCAGAGACGATTGGTAGAAGTGAACGGCCTCTGCGTAGAACTTTGTCAATCTCCCCTGCAAGTCGGCTGCCGTTCTCAAAGCATTCGCAGTGCGCACGTGGTGCAAAACGTTGCGTGGTCGGGTAAAAGGCTCCGATGGGATCAGGTCGACAATGGGCTGTAGAACGGCAGGGTCGACATAGTTGGTGACAGTGAAGAGAGCAACCAGACTCTGGTAGGCCAGCACCTCGCCCGTGTTCAGGTAAAAATACTGCAGGCCGTGGTGGCGACCGAGGCAGATGGCAAGGACTGGCAAGCGGCTGCCACCGAAGCGCGTCTCCACGAGATCGCCGGCGAGGAGAGCGGATGTCTGGCCTCGGAGGTCTGACAGAACATCGCCATCGTACAGGATGTTCTTAGCTTGCCTAGTGTCGTGCTCGTCGGTGAACGTGCGAACAGTCTGTGGCCTCGTAAGGAAGTTCCCCAGTCTTTCGTTGAAAGGCAGGTCGTCTAGAAGTCTGTGAGCGGATGCCTGGTTCTCCTGTTCCCAGACACGAAGCCTGTCGCGAACGCTGATTCTAGGCTGATCATGCTCGGCAAGACTCGTGGACAGGTTGTCGAAACCCTCTGCATCGTTCACAGACTGCGTAACGGTCGCAAGAGTCTGGAACGTAATAAGCATTCGCAGAAGAAGGAAGAAGTCATGAGGATGGTGCAACACTCACTCGCTGAGCTGCCGGGCGAGCCAGCAATGAAGCGGAAGCAGCTGAGGGTTGGGTTCTAGAGCATCCGCTTGTGGGAGATACAGCTTCCGCGCAAGCGGAGACACATCTGCGACAGAGATAGGGCCGCCGTATCTGCTGCAACATTCTGGCCATGAAGTTATCGGACTGTTGCGCTGACTGAATGAGTGCGGGTGGATCTCTCTTCAGCGCGACAATCGCTCACAAAATTTCGTGTCCAGGAGGAAGACGTTGCAGGACATGAACGCGAGATCACGTGACTCGATGTGCTCCAGGTACGTACATTTCCGAGATCCCCTGAAAATGCTCAGTGCGTCCACTCCATGAACATCGAGTAGTCTATATGGCCGAGTCATTTGCCCCCCAGCCTTGTTTGCAGGCAGTCAATGATGTCACGGAATTTTATTCGAATGCAATGCGTTCTCCGACTACGAGCGATGGCTGAAAGCGAAGGCAGGAAACCGGGTCTCTGTGTGTGACAGTTGTTCAGGCTCAATGATGTATATACTTCAGTACTCCAGCCCCTCTCCTTGTTCAAGTCTTGTAGGCTCTGGCTACCTTCCTTCGTAGCTTTCTCGATATTTTGCAGCAAAGCCCTGGTATCGAGCCTTGTCTTGCTTTGTTATCTGTTCTGGTATACCGACATTCTGTTGCCTGCACCACAGTACTGATCCCGATTCCCAACGCAGGTCAGGGTGCAGTCGTTCGCTGACACGGTGGACCCAGCAGCGAAAGTGTCTCCGCAGTAACCTGCACAACAGGTCAGATGATGAAATATTGGGGTCGTTGATAAACCACCAAGGCAGACAGAAGAATGTTGGATGAAAGGCACGAGGGGAGGACGATAGAGGGAGCGGTGGTAACGAGGCTTCTTCAGTGACTTACATTCTTTCCCAAACTCGGCTCCAAAGTAGTCAAAGCCAAGGCAGAGGTTAGCACATTCGTGCAACGTCATGTTGGCCTGTGAGTATTGGGCGCCCGTCAATGATCGGCTTGCGCTGCCATCGGTGCGGCACTCGACATAGTACCAGCGGATAGCGACCCTGGTGCCCACGACTATCTGAGCCGGCTGGGTGGGCTGAGGCACCGTGTTTCCGGGTAGTTTGTACATGAGCATGCGGTTACCGGCACCGCAGAGCTGCTTGTCGGGGGCTCCGGGGCACGGCATGTTGCACGCGGAGAGGTCGACAGAGTAACCGCCGTCGACGGTGTTGCTGTACCAGCACTCCTTGCCGAATTCGACACCGGCATATGCGTAGCCCGCGGCCTTGGCGAGGCACTTTTCGACCGTCATCAAGTCATCCGTGTAGGAAATGCTGAGGGCACGAGCGTTAGGCGGCCTGTTCCAGCAACCTACCAGCTCGTAGGAGCCAGACTTCTGGACGGCTACGGGCTTGGAAGTGCTTGTCGTCGTTGGTTGCGTCGTGGTAACGGGAGATGTGGACGTAGTCTTGGGGGCACCGCTGACGAGAACCGTTGTATCGCAAAGACCGTACTCAGACTGACTATATTGTGAGTAGAGACGGGTCAGCAAGATCGAATCTCCTTCTGGATCAGGGTCCATTCTCGGCATACCAGCCTTGGAGGTTGCTGCATTCCAGTCCGAGAAACCACAGTAGCCCGCAGCGCCGCAGCAGTTGCCATAGTTGTACTTTGTGTCGGTGCACTTGTACTTGTTGTCGTAGCCGCATGTTCCGTCAGGGCTGGGGGTGAATGGCGTGGGTGCGGGCTTTGTAGACCTGTTACATAGGATAGTCAGCGTTTCCATGAACCACAAGATCGTCTGCGAGAGGCTTATCATACGTCGCAGTAGCGGTGGTGACTGGTGCTTTTGATGTCGTTACTGCTGAACCATCGCATGCGCCGGACTGGCATTTGCCGGCACCACACTCGGCTGCAGTGCTGCCGCACCTGAGATGATACAAGAGTCGTCAGCTTTTGGGGACCTTGCACGACTTCTGCCATTCGCAGGCAAGGGGTAAACAGACTTTCCTGCGTTGGAGCAGCACTTGCCCCATTTCCCGCCGCACTCCAGAAAGCCAAAGTCTTTGCCGCAAGACCCGTTGAAACTGTAACCAAGACCTGGGCAGTTTCCTTCCTGGCAATTTCCGATGGCACAGGAAGCGCTAACGACGTTCACGATTAGCTCGTTTCACCCCGAAGCTGGGTGTTGAGGGCTTGGGGAGACATACTCTGTAGAACCGCAACTGTGGGAAGTATGGTCAGCACATCGTATCAGACGCTCGGGAAGGAAAACAGCCATCCAAACAAGGCTACTCACCGGTTATCAGCACCACAACAGTCTCCAAATCCAGAGTTGATGCAGGTGACGTTGTTCCCTGTGCGCAGTCCACACCCACCGTCCTCGGACACGGGGATCTCGGCATCTGTACCATGTCAAGGTCAGCTCCGCCATGTTCGGACGTGACTGCACCAGCATTTGAAGAGCAGCATGGAGAGGGAGGGAATGGGGACTCGGTTCGTACTCGTCCTGCGGCAGTAGGTCTCTCCAGGCGCGAAAGCGTAACAGTCAGACTGAACGGTTGGGTTCAGCTTGTAGAACTGGGCCATGGTCAAGCTGTATCGCTTGAGGTAGTCCTGGCAGGTATCCCAGGCGTTCGATTTTGACCAGGCACGACAGCTGCCGAGTTCAAAGGCCCGCTCGACCAGCTGGAAGGGCGAGGCCTCGACGAGGTCTCCCGAGAAATATTTGCCTCCATATTCAGATGGCGCGGCGTGCGAGACAGCAGCGTAAGA